GCATCATTGAACTAGGGGAAGGGTCCTGGCTGAAAAATCCACCCAGACTGCTGTAAGCATATGGTGAGAGAAACCTTTTTGCTTTAAATTCACTTAGCTTATTAAGTTAAGTATTAGTTTGCATTTTACCTTTTATTTCTTTGTAACCAGTTCTGACTTTTATGCCTCATCACTTGTAATCACTTAAAATCTATCTTTCTGTAGTTAATAAATTTGTTTTCACTGAACCAGTGTGTGTTTGGATTGAAGTGTTTGGGAACCTCCACTTGAGATAATGGAGTTTGTGCATATCATTTTCCATTAATGAAATGACAGACTTTCTATGAGCTTGTATTGTCCAGGAGGGTGTTGGGCAGTACAAGATGCACATTTGTGGGAACAAGTCTGGGACTAAGAATTTTCTGGTGTCACTCTGCAATATAATTCAGGAGCAGCTGGCTTACAGCACTCATATAACTCAACTGGGAGTAATTTACATCCTGGAGTTGTGAGTGAGCAGTCTGGGAGTGGCTGCTCTCACAGCAAAGTAGTGTAAAAGGCACCCCAGGTTGGAGAATTGGGGGGATACAGCTGTTCAAGAGGCCAGATTGTACCCTGGGGAACATCACAACCCCATTGTTTAGTTTTTGTCTCTGTCCATCTGACCTCTTGGTCAATTCCCAGGTGACAGCCCCTGACTTTCTCCAGAAGCCAACCTTTAACACCCCACCTCCTCAGTTCTTAGTCTTTTGTTCTTCAGCCTGTGTTTTTGCTTAGCTTCCCTGCTGAGAGGTGGGGAAACCCTTCTCTCTCTGGGTCCTTGGTTGCTAGGTATCAGTGTGCTGGTGACTGGGTTTACCATTGTCTTTTTGGACTTTCCATTTATATGGGGCTGGTCTCGGCCACTCTTTTTTAAAAGGACCCTGTAATGGAGTATATGTACCCCACTCTAGCCCAGCAACTAAACGGTTAACACAGGCACTGCCTGCCCTCGTTGATTGGCTGCCTCAGCGCAGCTGGGAGGATAAAAGGACTGGGAGGGGGTGGTGTGGTTCCTAGAGGAGTAAGCAGGCCTGGAGGAGGGAACTCTTCCCAGCAAGCTGCTGAAGAACTGCTCAGGGACACCACCTTAGAAGGAGACAGCCTGCAGAACCTGGGGGAGGTAAGCAGGAGTGGAGGATACAGCTGGAGATGATGAATCCTGATCCAGCTTACTTAGCTTGAGGGGCCTGAGTTGGAACCTACTTGAGTGGCTAACCCCCTAATCATAGGGGTGTGGGGTGCTGCAGCACCCCCAGGTTTTATGCAGGGCTACTGGCCCTGCACCCAGGCCTCCACTCTCCAGCTTGGCTCCTGGCTGCTGGCCTGTGCCTAGGGCTACCGCCCCGAGGCCCCACTCATGGCCCTCTGCCTGGGACTCCACTCTCTGGCTCTGTGCCTGGGGCTTGTTCCCAGCTGTTGGCCCCATGTCTGGGGCCCTGCATGTGGTCCCCTGCTCCCAGGGCTCTGCTCTTTGGGTCTCAACTGCTGGCCCCATGGCTGGGTCTCTGCTACTGGCACTATGCCCACCCCAGCCTTTGCCCCCTTATCCCTGTGTGGGTCCCTCCGTCCCAGAGACATGGCACTGCTCCTGGTCCCAGCTGGGGGAGAGGTGTGGACAGGGATAAGGGGGCTGGCTTTCAGCCCCCCTGCACTGTTAAAAGGGTTCCAGTGCCATTGCCTGCGAGGCTGAGTTCAGCTGTTATGCCCTAATCTGCCCAGAGGGGGCACCATTGCACTGACACCAACTCACAAACCCATCCAGCCTCAGACAGTTGGGTGACATTCATACTTGTGTGTCGTGGCCTGCCCTGCGAGCAAACAGTCCTTCCCACCCCTCCAATGGCTAACAATGCAACACAGGGGAAACTGAGGCTCATAGAGGGGCTCATAAAATATTACAGAAAATTCCCACTTTGTCACATATCAAAACAATTGTTTGTCCCTTCATAGCTAGGGGACTCCTTGTCCGTTGTACTGTCTCTTTTATCTCTGTGTTTGCAGATATTTGCAGTGGTCTCTGATAGTTTTCTATTGATAATCTGGGGCTGGAGCAAGGCTAGACAATTGAGCCTTGCATTACATCACCAGCTAATGAGGGAGGCATGACAACTCCTGGTGATAACCCATTCAAGCAGACATACTATCCCTGGGAGACTATCTTCTACTCTGAGTCCATAAAGCATACTTTCAACATAGTTATGTTTCTTAAATTATTACCTGTAACAACTACTTGCAATGATTAGGAGTCTTGATAAATCACGAGCTTTCTGTAGCTACATTCCATGTTACAGTTTATGGATAAATGCCTGGCAAGATATGTTTAATGTAGTGAGTTTACCACGTCTGAGGCAAGAGTTACTTGCAAAGAACAGGGGACCTTTTGCTAAGGGACCTTTGTGTCACTCTTGTGGTTAACTCAGTTAATCCCCAATGGGATAGTTCATCCCTTTCCCTACAACTAGTATGTATGCCAGCCTCCCCCTGCCCCATGCGGCTGATCAGCATCACTCCATTGGAATCAAGGAGGCCAGGTACTCAGTGGGTGTAAACTGGTTGTAGCTCTGTTGGAGTCAGTAGAACCAGATCCTCAAATGGTGTAAATCAACCCAACTCCATTGGAATCAATGGGCCAGATCCCTAGCTGGTCCAATCAGCTGGAGCTGCTAAATTCCCAGCTGGTGTAAATTTGGCATTACTCCATTGGAGTCCATAGATCCCCAGCTGGTGTAAATGGGTGCAGCACTACTGGAGTCAATGGAGTGATGCCAATTTACTCCAGTTGGGGTTCTGTCCCGTTGTGCTGAGCTCTGGGTACCACATCACCAAAGTGAGATCAGCACACTGGGAGCTGCTCAGACAAAAGCTCAGGTGTCTGATTTAGGAGGATCTAGCTAACTTAGGGATGGAGCAATGAAGGGTAGTGGTGACACAGGATCTCTGATGGGTTAACCCACCCCCCCCCCCAAGGAGGAAGGAGCTTAGTCTCACAAACAGGAGAATAACTGGAGTCCTAGGATGGAACCTGAGTGAGGGACAAGGGGAGCGAGGAGATAGGCCATGGGATTGGCCACCGGGGGAGGTGATGGGAGCCCCAATGGCATTGAACGTGACTGGCCAAGACAATGGGAAATGGTCCTGTAGGGAACAATGCTGCCCTGGCTTCGTGGCAATATGCTGGGTGGTCTAGTTGGTTCTTCCCATCTCTCACACCAAGGGGTCTTTGATGGGTGTTCCCTTACTCAGATCTTCCAGACAGGAGAGGGAGCCTCACCCTCAGCCCTTTCATAGAATCATAGAATCATAGAATATAAGGGTTGGAAGGGACCCCAGAAGGTCATCTAGTCCAACCCCCTGCTCAAAGCAGGACCAATTCCCAGTTAAATCATCCCAGCCAGGGCTTTGTCAAGCCTGACCTTAAAAACCTCTAAGGAAGGAGATTCTACCACCTCCCTAGGTAACGCATTCCAGTGTTTCACTACCCTCTTAGTGAAAAAGTTTTTCCTAATATCCAATCTAAACCTCCCCCACTGTAACTTGAGACCATTACTCCTCGTTCTGTCATCTGATACCATTGAGAACAGTCTAGAGCCATCCTCTTTGGAACCCCCTTTCAGGTAGTTGAAAACAGCTATCAAATCCCCCTCATTCTTCTCTTCTGCAGGCTAAACAATCCCAGCTCCCTCAGCCTCTCCTCATAACTCATATGTTCCAGACCCCTAATCATTTTTGTTGCCCTTCGCTGGACTCTCTCCAATTTATCCACATCCTTCTTGAAGTGTGGGGCCCAAAACTGGACACAGTACTCCAGATGAGGCCTCACCAATGTCGAATAGAGGGGAACGATCACGTCCCTCGATCTGCTCGCTATGCCCCTACTTATACATCCCAAAATGCCATTGGCCTTCTTGGCAACAAGGGCACACTGCTGACTCATATCCAGCTTCTCGTCCACTGTCACCCCTAGGTCCTTTTCCGCAGAACTGCTGCCTAGACATTCGGTCCCTAGTCTGTAGCTGTGCATTGGGTTCTTCCGTCCTAATTGCAGGACCCTGCACTTATCCTTATTGAACCTCATCAGATTTCTTTTGGCCCAATCCTCCAATTTGTCTAGGTCCTTCTGTATCCTATCCCTCCCCTCCAGCGTATCTACCACTCCTCCCAGTTTAGTATCATCCGCAAATTTGCTGAGAGTGCAATCCACACCATCCTCCAGATCATTTATGAAGATATTGAACAAAACCGGCCCCAGGACCGACCCTTGGGGCACACCACTTGATACCGGCTGCCAACTAGACATGGAGCCATTGATCACTACCCGTTGAGCCCGACAATCTAGCCAGCTTTCTACCTCACCTTTGCTCAGCCTCATCTGTTACACATAATAAATACTAACTAGGAGTATTATCGCAGCATCCAGGAGCCCCAGCCATGGTCCAGGACCTTACTTTGTGAGGTGCTGTACAAACACAGAACAAAGACAACACCACAGTCCCTCCTCGGGCTTATGCCCTGCAGAGACTTGTGGCTGTGGAGTCTTGTGGATGGGTTCAGGGAATTGGTCAGTGGACATGGATGGGGCCACCGTGGGTCACAGTGGTGGGAGTCGTGCAGGAGCCGGGCTATGCTATTAGGAGCTGTGTGGGCTGGTAGTTGCTAGATGGTGCCAGGCAAATCTGGGAGGAATTAGGGCTATCGAACATGAACTTGTGATCTGTTACAGAGCTGAGGGAGTGAATCATGTGAGCTGGAATATGGCTCCTTCTCCACTCTGGTCTCATTCTGTGCCAGATTATGGGGGAGGTATTTGCCCTTCCTGTGGCATCATTCATCCCCGGTGATGCATGCTGCGAGGAGGGCAAGATCTGCCCTGTCAGTCCCTGCTGCGTGGGACCCGATGCCCATGGAGATGCTGGAGGGCAGAGATGGCTCTGGGATGGGTGCAGGACACTGGGGTGTCCCCAGGAGAAGTATGGAGGTGGCTAGGAGAGCAGGCAGCTTCTCTTGGGTTTTCGTTTACGCTGGCCCTTCCGCATGGTGCTCAAGGCAGCGCTGGAGGCCTCCATGAAGTTGTCGGTGATGTTCTCTTGGTACTTGGCCGAGCACTCAAGGTAGGTGACAGCGTGCACCTCCCGGGCCATGGCCTCTGCCTGCAACAGGGGAGTGGTGTGAGACCCACAGAAGGCATAGGGCTGGGCAGGGCCTGGGGTCCCTGCTGAAGGCATGTTGTGCCCATTGTACAGCCTGGGGCTTCCAGGATCCATTCCCATTGGGCATCACCTCCCCAGCTACTATTCCTGGGCTTCCTCGAGTCTCTGGCAGGGCCCAGGACATGCCCTGCTTCGGCTGACTGAATCGCTGCCTTGCCACAACCTCATCCCAGCATGGAGTCTAGGAGCTTGGCTGAACCCTGGCCCATTATCTCTGGGAGGGACTATTTTTCCTTCCTGATGATTCAGGATGGCGTGTGTTGGCCATGGGGGGGAGAGGCTTTGTTACCTTATGGTAGGTGATGGGCTCCAGCTGGTCCTCGTGGAGCTGCCTCAGAAGGACCTTGTCAGGTCAGTCTTGCAGCCCACCAGCACGATGGGGATGCCCTTGCAGAAGTGATTCACCTCCGGGTACCACTATGCAGGGAGAGAGATGGAGACAGGGGCTGAGCACTGGGGTGGGAGACCCCACATGGCCTCAGAGGCTTTGGGGGAGGGTCTGAGCCCCATGTTCATCCCCATTAAATCAGAGAATGGGACATACCCCTAAGGAACACAATAGAGGCCAGCAGAACAGAGCTAGAGCAGTGGTGGGCAAACTTTTTGGCCTGAGGGCCACATCTGGGTATGGAAATTGTATGGCAGGCCATGAATGCTCACGAAATTGGGGTTGGCTGTGCGGGAGCTCCCGACTACTCCAGTCCCAGGCTGGCACTGCAGGGAGCAGGGTGGGAGCAGTGGCTGTGTGGGGGGAGCTCCCGGATACTCCAGCCCCAGCCTCTCCAGAAGGGGGTGCTGCAGGGAGCAGGGAAGCAGCACTGGCTGTGGCAGGAGCTTCCAGCTACTCCAGTCCCAGCCTCTTCCATTTGATCTATAGAAGTTTTGTTACCTTTGTGAGAATGTTGTTGAAGCTGTTGGGACTGGTGACGTCGAAGCACATGAGAATCACGTGGGCTCCTGTGTAGGAGAGGGGGCAGAGCCTGTCGTAATCTTCCTGCCCTGTGAGGAGGAGATGGAGGTCACTAAGTACCCCTCCCCTTCAAGTGCAGGGTCCCCAACCCCTCCCCATCCTCTGTATGTGAGAGGGGATCCAGCCCCCAAGGACAGCCAACCATGTGTGTGTATTCAGCCACCCACTGGTGCACTCACACATACATATTGACACACTAACGTGTGCTGATACATATGTGCCTGCACACTCACACTCACCTATGTGAAGGAGACTCCGCTGGTTGGAAGGCATGAGATGCACTATCCTGAGATGGGGGGGTTCCATGACCACCACTCCCAAGAGAAGGAGGCAGGTGGTGGTGGTCAGGGACTCTCTACTTCGGGGGACTGAGTCATCTATCTGCCGCCCTGACCGGGAAAACCGAGAAGTCTGCTGCTTGCCAGGGGCTAAGATTCGCGATGTGACGGAGAGACTGCCGAGACTCATCAAGCCCTCGGATCGCTACCCCTTCCTGCTTCTCCACGTGGGCACCAATGATACTGCCAAGAATGACCTTGAGCGGATCACTGCGGACTACGTGGCTCTGGGAAGAAGGATAAAGGAGTTTGAGGCACAAGTGGTGTTCTCATCCATCCTCCCCGTGGAAGGAAAAGGCCTGGGTAGGGACCATTGAATCGTGGAAGTCAACGAATGGCTACGCAGGTGGTGTCGGAGAGAAGGCTTTGGATTCTTTGACCATGGGATGGTCTTCCAAGAAGGAGGAGTGCTGGGCAGAGACGGGCTCCACCTTACGAAGAGAGGGAAGAGCATCTTTGCGAGCAGACTGGCTAACCTGGTGAGGAGGGTTTTAAACTAGGTTCACCGGGGGAAGGAGACCAAAGCCCTGAGGTAAGTGGGAAAGCGGGATACCGGGAGGAAGCACAGGCAGGAATGTCTGTGAGGGGAGGGCTCCTGCCTCATACTGAGAATGAGGGGCGATCAGCAGGTTATCTCAAGTGCTTATATACGAATGCACAAAGCCTTGGAAACAAGCAGGGAGAACTGGAGGTCCTGGTGATGTCAAGGAATTATGATGTGATTGGAATAACAGAGACTTGGTGGGATAACTCACATGCCTGGAGTACTGTCGTGGGTGGATATAAACTGTTCAGGAAGGACAGGCAGGGCAGAAAAGGTGGGGGAGTAGCACTGTATGTAAGGGAGCAGTATGACTGCTCAGAGCTCTGGTATGAAACTGCAGAAAAACCTGAGTGTCTCTGGATTAAGTTTAGAAGTGTGAGCAACAAGAGTGATGTAGTGGTGGGAGTCTGCTATAGACCACCGGACCAGGGGGATGAGGCTTTCTTCTGGCAACTCACAGAAGCTACTAGATCGCACGCCCTGGTTCTCATGGGTGACTTTAATCATCCTGATATCTGCTGGGAGAGCAATACAGCGGTGCATAGACAATCCAGGAAGTTTTTGGAAAGCGTAGGGGACAATTTCCTGGTGCAAGTGCTGGAGGAACCATCTAGGGGCAGAGCTCTTCTTGACCTGCTGCTCACAAACCAGGAAGAATTAGTAGGGAAAGCAAAAGTGGATGGGAATCTGGGAGGCAGTGACCATGAGATGGTTGAGTTCAGGATCCTGACACAGGGAAGAAAGGTAAGCAGCAGGATACGGACCCTGGACTTCAGGAAAGCAAACTTCGACTCCCTCAGGGAACGGATGGGTAGGATCCCCTGGGGGACTAACATGAAGGGGAAAGGAGTCCAGGAGAGCTGGCTGTATTTCAAGGAATCCCTGTTGAGGTTACAGGGACAAACCATCCCGATGTGTCGAAAGAATAGTAAATATGGCAGGCAACCAGCTTGGCTTAACGGTGAAATCCTAGTGGATCTTAAACATAAAAAAGAAGCTTACAAGAAGTGGAAGGTTGGACATATGACCAGGGAAGAGTATAAAAATATTGCTCGGCCATGTAGGAATGAAATCAGGAGGGCCAAATAGCACCTGGAGCTGCAGCTAGTGAGAGATGTTAAGAGTAACAAGAAGGGTTTCTTCAGGTATGTTGGCAACAAGAAGAAAGCCAAGGAAAGTGTGGGCCCCTTACTGAATGAGGGAGGCAACCTAGTGACAGAGGATGTGGAAAAAGCTAATGTACTCAATGCTTTTTTTGCCTCTGTCTTCACTAACAAGGTCAGCTCCCAGACTGCTGCGCTGGGCATCACAACATGGGGAATAGATGGCCAGCCCTCTGTGGAGATAGAGGTGGTTAGGGACTATTTAGAAAAGCTGGACGTGCACAAGTCCATGGGACCGGACGAGTTGCATCCGAGAGTGCTAAAGGACCTGGCGGCTGTGATTGCAGAGCCATTGGCCATTATCTTTGAAAACTCGTGGCGAACGGGGGAAGTCCCGGATGACTGGAAAAAGGCTAATGTAGTGCCAATCTTTAAAAAAGGGAAGAAGGAGGATCCTGGGAACTACAGGCCAGTCAGCCTCACTTCAGTCCCCAGAAAAATCATGGAGCAGGTCCTCAAAGAATCAATCCTGAAGCACTTACATGAGAGGAAAGTGATCAGGAACAGTCAGCGTGGATTCACCAAGGGAAGATCATGCCTGACTAATCTAATCACCTTCTATGATGAGATTACTGGTTCTGTGGATGAAGGGAAAGCAGTGGATGTATTGTTTCTTGACTTTAGCAAAGCTTTTGACACTGTCTCCCACAGTATTCTTGTCAGCAAGTTAAAGAAGTACGGGCTGGATGAATGCACTATAAGGTGGGTAGAAAGTTGGCTAGATTGTCGGGCTCAACGGGTAGTGATCAATGGCTCCATATCTAGTTGGCAGCTGGTGTCAAGTGGAGTGCCCCAGGGGTCAGTCTTGGGGCCGGTTTTGTTCAATATCTTCATAAATGATCTGGAGGATGGTGTGGATTGCACTCTCCGCAAATTTGCAGATGATACTAAACTAGGAGGAGCGGTAGATACGCTGGAGGGCAGGGATAGGATACAGAGGGACCTAGACAAATTGGAGGATTGGGCCAAAAGAAATCTGATGAGGTTCAATAAGGATAAGTGCAGGGTCCTGCACTTAGGATGGAAGAACCCAATGCACAGCTACAGACTAGGGACTGAATGGCTAGGCAGCAGTTCTGCGGAAAAGGACCTAGGGGTGACAGTGGATGAGAAGCTGGATATGAGTCAGCAGTGTGCCCTTGTTGCCAAGAAGGCCAATGGCATTTTGGGATGTATAAGTAAGGGCATAGCGAGCAGATCAAGGGACGTGATCGTCCCCCTCTATTCGACATTGGTGAGGCCTCATCTGGAGTACTGTGTCCAGTTTTGGGCCCCACACTACAAGAAGGATATGGATAAATTGGAAAGAGTCCAGCGAAGGGCAACAAAAATGATTAGGGGTCTGGAACACATGACTTATGAGGAGAGGCTGAGGGAACTGGGATTGTTTAGCCTGCAGAAGAGAAGAATGAGGGGGGATTTGATAGCTGCTTTCAACTACCTGAGAGGTGGTTCCAGAGAGGATGGTTCTAGACTATTCTCAGTGGCAGAAGAGGACAGGACAAGGAGTAATGGTCTCAAGTTGCAGTGGGGGAGGTTTAGGTTGGATATTAGGAAAAACTTTTTCACTAGGAGGGTGGTGAAACACTGGAATGCATTGCCTAGGGAGGTGGTGGAATCTCCTTCCTTAGAAGTTTTTAAGGTCAGGCTTGAAAAAGCCCTGGCTGGGATGATTTAATTGGGGATGGGTCCTGCTTTTGAGCAGGGGGTTGGACTAGATGACCTCCTGAGGTCCCTTCCAACCCTGATATTCTATGATTCTATGAATTTGAGGCCTGGCTCCTGTTGTTGGAAGGGATGGGGGGCCAGCAGTCCTGGGCTGTGTCACTTTAAGTTCAAGGTAGGGGATAGAGCTCAGGATGCCAACAGTAGAACCCAGAAAGAACTTTGATCCCAGGGTGCTGATGTGGGCCTGTGGGAAAGGGGCCCTTCTGTTTCCAGGGAAATGTTTTAAGAAAAGGAAGGCTAAAAATATTTTTTTTTCCTGAACATGAGGAAAATCTGCTTTTTTTTAAAAAAAAAAACTTGTAAGAAATGTCACTTTCTTTCAAAAACCATTGTGGTAAAAATTGGCTTGTTTGAAAGTGTCTCTTTTTCTACCCCAAATTTGCATGCTAATAAAAGCCACCCACTGATTTGCATAATATGCCACACCCCAACACACATGTATAGTGTACACAATCAAGCTCCAACTACGATTTGCATAGCAAGCCATGCCCCAAACCTTATCCCTGTGACCTTTCCTGACTACTGTACCCCTTTTAGGAGTCTGATTTGTCTTGCATATCCCAAGTTTTACCTCACTTAAAATTACTTGCTTACAAGATCCGACATAAACCTACAAGTGTCACAACACACTGTTAGTGGAAAATTGCTTACTTTCTCATTTTTACCATAAGATTATAAAATAAATAGTACAATATTTGTATTCTGAACATGTTAGTGTATAGTATACAGAGCAATATAAACAAGTCATGATCTGTATGAAATTTTAGTTTGTACCGACTTTGCTAGTGAACATAATGGCCATAGTGGGTCAGATCAAAGGTCCATCTAGCCCAGTATCCTGTCTTCCAACAGTGGCCAGAACCAGGTTCCCAAGAGGGAATGAACAGAACAGGTAATCATCAATTGAGCCATTCCCTGTCGCTCATTCCTAGCTTCTGGCAAACAGAGGCTAGAGACCCCATCCCTGCCCATCCTGGCTAATAGCCATTGATGGACCTATCCTCCTTGAATTTATCTAGTTCTTCTTTGAATGCTGTTATAGTCTTGGCCTTCACAACATCTTCTGGCAAAGAGTTCCACAGGTTGACTCTGCGTTGTGTGAAGAAATAGCTCCTTTTGTTTTAAACCTGCTGCTTATTAATTTCAGTTCACTGCAAGGTCAGGATCCTGACACAAGGAAGAAAGGAGAGCAGCAGAATACAGACCCTGTTGAGGTTACAGGGACAAACCATCCCGATGAGTCGAAAGAATAGTAAATATGGCAGGTGACCAGCTTGGCTTAATAGTGAAATCCTAGCGGATCTTACACTTCTTGTAAGCTTCTTTTTTATGTTTAAGGTTGGACATATGACCAGGGAAGAGTATAAAAATAATGCTCGGGCATGTAGGAATGAAATCAGGAGGGCCAAATCTCACCTGGAGCTGCAGCTAGCGAGAGATGTCAAGAGTAACAAGAAGAGTTTCTTCAGGTATGTTGGCAACAAGAAGAAAGCCAAGGAATGTGTGGGCCCCTTACTGAATGAGGGAGGCAACCTAGTGACAGAGGATGTGGAAAAAGCTAATGTACTCAATGCTTTTTTTGCCTCTGTCTTCACTAGCAAGGTCAGCTCCCAGACTGCTGCGCTGGGCATCACAAAATGGGGAAGAGATGGCCAGCCCTCTGTGGAGATAGAGGTGGTTAGGGACTATTTAGAAAAGCTGGATGTGCACAAGTCCATGGGGCCGGACGAGTTGCATCCGAGAGTGCTGAAGGAATTGGCGGCTGTGATTGCAGAGCCATTGGCCATTATCTTTGAAAACTCGTGGCGAACCGGGGAAGGATTTCACTGTTAAGCCAAGCTGGTCGCTTGCCATATTTACTATTCACACTGCTGTGACTACACGGGAAAGTGTAGGCCCCTTACTGAATGAGGGAGGCAACCTAGTGGCAGAGGATGTGGAAAAAGCTAATGTACTCAATGCTTTTTTTGCCTCTGTCTTCGCAAACAATGTCAGCTCCCAGACTACTGCACTGGGCAGCACAGCATGGGGAGGAGGTGACCAGCCCTCTGTGGAGAAAGAAGAGGTTCGGGACTATTTAGAAAAGCTGGACAACCACAAGTCCATGGGGCCGGATTGTACTGCATCCGAGAGTGCTAAAGGAGTTGGCGGCTGTGATTGCAGAGCCATTGGCCATTATCTCTGAAAACTCATGGCAATTGGGGGAAGTCCTGGACGACTGGAAAAAGGCTAATGTAGTGCCCATCTTTAAAAAAGGGAAGGAGGAGGATCCTGGAACTACAGGCCAGTCAGCCTCACCTCAGTCCCTGGAAAAATCATGGAGCAGGTCCTCAAGGAATCCATTCTGAACCTCTTAGAGGAGAGGAAAGTGATCAGGAACAGTCAGCATGGATTCACCAAGGGCAAGTCATGCCTGACTAATCTATTGCCTTCTATGATGAGATAACTGGCTCTGTGGTTGAGGGGAAAGCAGTGGACGTGTTGTTCCTTGACTTGAGCAAAGCTTTAGACACGGTCTCCTACAGTATTCTTGCCAGCAAGTTAAAGAAGTATGGGCTGGATGAATGGACTGTAAGGTGGATAGAAAGCTGGCTAGATCATCAGGCTCAACTGGTAGTGATGAATGGCTCCATGTTTAGTTGGCAGCCGGTATCAAGCTGAGTGCCCCAAGGGTCGGTCCTGGGGCCAGTTTTGTTCAATATCTTCCTTAATGATCTGGAGGATGGTGTGGATTGCACCCTCAGCAAGTTTGCGGATGACCCTAAACTGGGAGGAGAGGTAGATACGCTGGAGGGTAGGGATAGGCTACAGAGGGCCCTAGACAAATTAGAGGATTGGGCCAAAAGAAATCTGAGGTTCAACAAGGACAAGTGCAGAGTCCTGCACTTAGGACAGAAAAATCCCATGTAGTGCTACAAACTAGGGACCGAATGGCTAAGCAGCAGTTCTGCAGAAAAGGACCTAGTGGGTTACAGTGGATGAGTAGCTAGATATGAGTCAACAGTGTGCCCTTGTTGCCCAGAAGACCAATGGCATTTTGGGATGTATAAGTAGGGGCATTGCCAGCAGATCAAGGAATGTGATCATTTCCCTCTATTAAACATTGGTGAGGCCTCATCTGGAGTATTGTTAAGTTTTGGGCCCCACACAACAAGGATGTAAAAATATTGGAAAGCGTCCAGCAGAGGGCAACAAAAATGATTAGGGGACTGGAACACATGATTTATGAGGAGAGGCTGAGGGAACTGGGATTGTTTAGTCTGCAGAAGAGAAGAATAAGGGGGGATTTGATAGCTGCTTTCAGCTACCTGAAAGGGGGTTCCAAAGAGGATGGATCTAGACTGTTCTCAGTGGTACCAGATGACAGAACAAGGAGTAATGGTCTCAAGTTGCAGTGGGGGAGATTTAGGTTGGATGTTAAGAGAAACTTTTTCACTAGGAGGGTGGTAAAGCACTGGAATGCATTACCTAGGCAGGTGGTGGAATCTTTTTCCTTTGAGGTTTTTAAGGTTCGGCTTGATGAAGCCCTGGCTGGGATGATTTAGTTGGGGATTGGTCCTGCTTTGAGCAGGGGGTTGGACTAGACTACCTCCTGAGGTCCCTTCCCACCGTGATATTCTATGATTTGGTGACCCCTAGTTCTTATGCTATGAGAAGGAGTGAATAACACTTCCTTATTTACTTTCTCCACACCAGTCATGCTATTATAGACCTCTATCATGTGTCTCTCCCTCCCCCCTTAGTTGTCTCTTTTCCAAGCTGAAAGGTCCCAGTCTTATTAACCTCTCCTCATACAGCAGCTGTTCCATACCCATAATCATTGTTTCCCTTTTCTGAACCTTTTCCAAGTCCAATATATATATTTTTTTGAGATGGGGTGACCACATCTGCATGAATATATGCAGATGTGGGCATACCATGGATTTGTATAAAAGCAATAGGATATTTTCTCTTATCTATCCCTTTCTTAATGATTCCCAACATTGTTTGCGCTTTTGACTGCCACTGCACATTGAGTGGTTGTTTTCAGACAACTATCCACAGTGACTCCAAGATCTTTCTTGAGAGAGTGCTTTTTATGTAGCCTGTTGTAAAAATGAGACCAATATCTAGATGAGTTGATGTACCCCCGGAAGACCTGTGTACCCCGGTACACCCCATCCTCTACCTATACATACCCACTGTGTCCCACAGATTGATTTGCACCGGCTTGCCGCCAATCTGGAAAGAGGCAGAGTACTTCTCAAACACTGTGGGGACATAGACCTAGGAGGAGAAAGGAGGGGAGAGTCACTGTGCTGGAAAGAAAGAAAGAAAGACAGCCATCACTACTGCTCAGCAGGCTGGCCCACGGGGAGCTAGCATTCATTCCTCTTTAAACGCTTCTCTATCAGTCTATCTAAAGTACTCACATGACCTCCAACACCGTAATAACTGAGTGTCTCACAATCTGTAATGTGTTTATCCTCACAACACCCCTGTGAGGTAAGGAAGTAGTACCTCCGTTGTAGAGATGGGGAAATTGAGGCACTGAGCAGAGCAAGGTCACACAGGAAGCTCTTTGGAAGAGCAGGGACTTGAATGGAGGTCTCCCAAGGATGGCCCTTAACCACTGACTGTACCATCCATTCACTGCAACAGTGTGTTTTCTTCTCCCCTCCCCACCCATGTGATTTTCTAGGGTGCTTGTGCTGTGTGTCTCCCTGTGGTTTATTGTTTTATTTACATGTGGAGCTGAACCAATATTGTTCAGTTCAGGGCTGAACTGAAAGGAAAAAAAATCAGTTTGAACCAAAATGGATTTTTTGGGGGGGGTTTTCTTGCTGAAACACAAACCAAAAACAAACCTTTAGCTGGGTTTATCAGTACTGGCACTGGTTTCATGGGAGGGCAGGTCCCACAGAGTCTCACCTTGGGGCTGAATGCCACCAAGCCCCTAAATACCCCCCCAGGGTAAACCCAGGCCTTTCTGGGCTAGTCGGTCTCTGGGGCAATGCCGTACCCTGGCAACATATCACAGTGACTGTGGGTGGCTCTGGGCTTGTTCAGCTGCTAGGTTAGTCTAGGCTGGGGGTGGGCGAGTGGAGTGGAGTGCCTGATAGGGCATGGCCTAAGCACCATCCATTTGCAGCATCCACCCTATCACCAGCCCTGCTCCCCAGAGGAATCCTGTGGCCATCCATCACCAGTCCTAGCCCCAGGGCTTCTGCTTTACGGGGGGGAGAATTCCATTTCCTGCACTGCTTGGCAGCACTGGGGTGTGCTGGGGGACAAGTCATAGGAGCCCTGTGGATACAGCCTCCCATACTCCCCCAACTCCTCCCCTTCGAAGGGGATTCAGATCCTACCAGAGCCAGCCAATCTTGCACCCTGGAATAAACAATGTTCCCCTCTACAGCAGGTAGCATGTGCCAAGTGAGCTGGCCTTGCTGGAGCCCTTGGTCTGCCAGGCAGCTCCTACCCCTTTTCCTGGGGTTACATCACAGCTAGGGTTGCCACCCCTCCAGGATTGTCTTGGAGTCTGCAGGAATTAAAGATTAATCTGTAAAGATTATGTCATGATGAAACCTCCAGGAATACGTCCAACCAAAATTGGCAACCCTAATTCACAAAGAGCTGATGGGCTGACAGAAGGCGCCATGGGCCTGAGGTGCACTCCTTCCACCTCCCACAATCATGGTTGTGCTGGCAGCAGAGACCGTCCAGCAGCCATGTGCCATGCAGCAGAGCCCCTGAGGATCCTGGCTTTTTTCTCTGTGTGGCTACCCTAGTGTTTCTCTCAGGCCTGCACCTACAGTAAAGCCCTCCCCCCCCCCCGCACACACACACAGGCTGTGCCCCTTGCACCTGGCATGCAGATGGGGCTGTTCTCATTAGAAGGAGCAGTTGATACACTGGAGGGTATGGATAGGATACAGAGGGACCTAGGCAAATTAGAGGATTGGGCCAAAAGAAATCTGATAAGGTTCAACAAGGACAAGTGCAGAGCCCTGCACTTAGGACAGAAGAATCCCATGCACCGCTACAGACTAGGGACCGAATGGCTAGGCAGTGGTTCTGCAGAAAAGGACCTAGAGGTTACAGTGGACGAGAAGCTGGATATGAGTCAACAGTGTGCCCTTCTTGCCAAGAAGACCAATGGCATTTTGGGCTATATAAGTAGGGGCATTGCCAGCAGATCGAGGGACGTACTCTATTCGTCATTGGTGAGGCCTCATCTGGAATACTGTGTCCAGTTTTGGGCCCTACACTACAAGAAGGATGTGGAAAAATTGGAAAACCCCCAGCAGAGGGCAACAAAAATGATTAGGGGACTGGAACACATGACTTATGAGGAGAAGCTGAGGGAACTGGGATTGTTTAGTCTGCAGAAGAGAAGAATAAGGGGGGATTTGATAGCTGCTTTCAACTACCTGAAAGGGGGTTCCAAAGAGGATGGAGCTTGGCTGTTCTCAGTGGTACCAGATGACAGAACGAGGAGTAATGGTCTCAAGTTGCAGTGGGGGAGGTTTAGGTTGGATATTAGGAAACACTATTTCACTAGGAGGGTGGTGAAACACTGGAATGCGTTACCTAGGGATGTGGTGGAATCTCCTTCCTTAGAAGTTTTTAAGGTCAGGCTTGAGCAAGCCCTGGCTGTGAAGATTTAGTTGGGGTTGGTCCTGCTTTGAGCAGGGGGTTATACTAGACAACCTCCTGAGGTCCCTTCCAACCCTGATATTCTATGATTAAGCCTTTTTTGGGCTGCTATGACTGCATCTGCACTAGGAGGATTTGCCCTTGTAGCTATACTAGCAAACCCTTTGTACTATAGACTAGGCTGCAGAGGAAGGGAGAAAAATCCTGACCCTAGGATTTTTTTATACTGGGGCTTTTTGCTGGTATAAATGTCACAGAAATCCTATCCCCTGGAGCAGGAAAAGTTTCTAGTTTTAAAAATATCCTTCCAAAGGGACATAAACCAAACCGAGAAAAAGCCACATGGGGAGTTATATTGGTGTAGTAATGCTGATAAGTGTCCTGGGTAAACAATCCCATAGGTGCTGGCTGCTGCTAGAGAAAAGAGACAGACAGATGCTCTGAACCAGGGCCTTTGGGCTATGTGCACCTCTGGAGCAGGTGGTTCCTGAAGATGTGCTGCCACCCTATGGCCACTTCTTGTCATGCAGTTCCTCATTTCTGCTCTGTTAGTGTGTCATACTTGTTTGGAAAGCCAGTGCAGAACTCCAGGCACCCAATGGGCTAGCGAAGGAGGGTGCCGGCGCATGAAGCTACCCCATGCGCATACTCCCCCTGGGTGCTGGGGATTTAGTTCTTCCCAGCAAACTCTGATGTGTTTGTCCGTTCTCTGCAAAGGAATAAGAGCAAATCACAGAGGAATCTGGGGACCCTGAAAATTCCTGGCCCAAACTCTTGGGAACGGGGAGTGCCCAAGCCCCGTTATTCCTGTGCTCTGGTGGTAGAGGGAGACTTTAAAATATCAGCTCACAGAATCCCATTTACTGGCCCCCAGCAGCAGGAGCTGCTCAGAGCAGCAAACAATGCAGTGTTTGTAATTGGGAAACAGGACCCCTGTGCCAGCCGTGCTAACAAACATGGGTTCAAAGTGCAAATAAGCACATGTTTGGTGTGTGGCTGCGTGAGGAGGGGCCTACCCCATACAAGGCCTGAGGAGAGAGGAAGGGCCAATTAACTCTGACAGGCTGTACCCGAAGGAGAGTCAGGCCCAAGAAGTGTCACTGATAATGAAGTCCAGCTGGGCAAGGGGCAGGCTGAGCTGTTATAGAACCAGGAAGTAGGAGGCTGCAGTAGAAGGTCTGCAGTTATGCTCTGGGCTTAGAGAGGGAAAGGAGGAAACTCTGGTGGGGAGAAGAGAACTGAAGCCCTGGGATCCTGGCCCTGAGGAGGGTGGAGAAGGGGCCTGACAGAAATGAAGCAGAAAGCAGCCCAGGGAAAGAGCAGCAAGCTTTGGGACCTTGGCCATTCAGCTGTAGGGTCCCTGGGTTAGAATCGGGAGCAGTGGGTGGGCCCAGATTCCCCTACCAGCCACTGGGGAAGTGGCACAGTCTGGGCAGTGGAAAAGAAGACTGCCTGGGACAGTTTGTCCAGTAGGACTTTGATACCTGAGAAGGGGAGGACTGTAGTGACCTGGCTGAAGGGCCAAGGCATGAAGAGGGACCACCCTGAGTAATGCATTGGGAGGCACCTGACTTCAGAGAGAGAGAGAGAGAGTCAGCATGGGGTGAGAAACCAAAGAAGGGGGCATCAGACTGATTGTGAGCTAATCCCTAGTTGAGCCACAAAGAGAAGCCCTGGGATTGACTAGCAAAAGTCGTGACAGGATGATGGGGAGGTGTCACAGGGTACCTGGCTCTTTAAGGGGGAGATGAGTTCAGGCCAACCTGGGAGAAACTTAGCTTGCCTCCCCAGGAAGGTCACATGACTAAATCAACCAAGCACCACCAGGTTAGCTACTGCCTCAGTTTCCTCCTCTTGGGCTTTCCTCTATTGAGTAACATCTGAAAGTAAATCACAGAGGAATCTGGGGATCCTGAAAGCTCAACAGACCACGGAGAGCCTCCAAGGAGCAGGAGGGCTGCATGAGCTGCTCTATGCAGAGAGGCTCTCCCTAGCACCAAGGCAGATCACTTTAAAGTTGTCCCTTTAAGAGTAAGGGGTTTCCTGGTCCTGCTTGCAGGCTAGGGGACCATGAGGGAAACTGTATGGCTCCTTTCTGGGCCATCTACGAAGAGCCAACCTAAAGCAAGGTGGATTGAGTTGGGCCTCTCTCTGTTTTTGGTTCTTGTGTGTTAGGGTTCTGGATTCCAAGAATAAAGTAGGTTTCAGAGGAACAGCCGTGTTAGTCTGTATTCGCAAAAAGAAAAGGAGTACTTGTGGCACCTTAGAGACTAACCAATTTATTTGAGCATGAGCTTTCGTGAGCTACAGCTCACTTCATCAGATGTATACCGTGGAAACTGCAGCAGACTTTATATACACACAGAGAATATGAAACAATACCTCCTCCCACCCCACTGTCCTGCTGGTAATAGCTTATCTAAAGTGATCAACAGGTGGGCCATTTCCAGCACAAATCCAGGTTTTCTCACCCTCCACCCCCCCACACAAATTCATGGGGGGTGGAGGGTGAGAAAACCTGGATTTGTGCTGGAAATGGCCCACCTGTTGATCACTTTAGATAAGCTATTACCAGCAGGACAGTGGGGTGGGAGGAGGTATTGTTTCATATTCTCTGTGTGTATATA